CGGCCGGCGCGCCATTCATCGGCGGTTTAGCGGCGGCACGCGCGCGGCTGCAGCGGCCGGCGACACGCGACACCGCGCCGCGGCCGAGACGCGACGGCCGCCGCTGTCGGCCGGCCCCGCCGCCAGACGGCTTTATCGCGCCGACACGTATGAGCGGGGCCCCGGCGGCGGGCGGCGGCGCGTATGAGAAGGCAGCGCGGTGGCAGCGGCGGCGGGCCGTGGCGTCCGTTCGTCCCGCCACCGGCGCACTCTGCAACTGGATCCGGCACATGATGGATGAGCCGCGCCGCTCGCCCTAATCAACATGCCGCCGCGCTAAAAACAAATCCCTCCCGCGCCACACCGCGTATCATTTATCAGTTTTCCCCCCAGTTACCCGGCGTGTTGCCCCAATAGAGCGGCCAGATCGGCGGTCGGGGCCGGCGATACCTGTTTGCAGGCGGGTACAAATCGGCCGCGGCTGAAGGGGTTACGGCCGGCCGCGGCCGTGGGGGCCATTAGGCGCGGTTGGCTGGCGGCCGGCCGACCTGTTGCCCCCACGAGGACTCGCCGAGCGTGAAACGGCCGCCCCGTCGGCCACTTCGTAACCGGGGAACGCGTGTGAGAGCACAAAAATGTAAGGGGCATAACAGGAAAGGGCTGGGGTGATGGCCTGTTACGGTTCGTTGGATCGAGGTGCCAACAGGACTACCGTCGCTTCCACGTCCAACCAGTCGATGCCTCGCCTGTGCGACAGATTGCAGGACGCCTTCACTCCTAACTGGGTGTCTTTCCACTTATGATCTCGTTTGCGCTTGCTTTATGGGACATATAGCTACCTGGTTGTGCCCGCAAGTAAGGCCCTAGAAGTAACACCATGCGGCAATCGACGCAATCGCGCCTACTTTCCAAGGACGCACCTGTCAACGTGTCTACTGTTCTTGGTCGTCCTCGAATACATGATGAAGGTATGGACTCGCCATTGTGACGCTTGCCGGGTGAGATTCGAACGTGCGAACGTCTGTGTAATTGACGCGTCCCTACGCGACATACCCAGGAACAACTTCCGAATTCATTGGCTCGGTGCCGTCATTTATATATCGTTAATAAACCCATCCGAAAGTAATTATTTCTCGCACTGCTCTCACATGATAGCTTTTGACGTCAGCTCACGGTCATCTCTGGCTTACCCATGGGGTCTCCTCTTCACACAGGCTTACCAGACCACACCACTGGATCCTGCCATCTTCAAACGGCACGGACATGCTATGGAGCGGAATATGTACGTGAACACGTGAATACGTGACTCATGATGAATGACAATGCATATCCATGGTGATGGTGATGTCACAGCCCGAAATGTTAAACACTTTTGGATGCAAGGCTTTCCGGTGTCCTGTATTTTAATCAGGTCCTCACAATCTGCTGTAGGCTGGTGGTAATTTTGTGCTGGCAGGAGATGTTCAACTCATTTCGATCCATGCGTAACTTGATGGTTATCGCCTTCTGAATTACTTACGCCAATTTCGGTAGGCAAGGCAATGGTCAGAGAAAAGCTGGAAGCTCCACGCACGCACCGCATCTATACCTGAACAGATTGGCTCAGCACCGCATGCACGTGAGCCCTGTGTTGTACTTGGCTAACATCTGGACAATTCAGACGACTCAAGGTTGAGAGGAGATTGCGGCATTCTCTTAAAATGCTACTCCGCGCATCTTCACCGATAACTTCCAGTGCAAAACAAACGGGCTGCAAGCAAACATAACTGACCGCACGAAACAACACAAGAAATCATTACTCCGTTGAGACGAGCCAAAAAAGCACACAGCAAGCCCGAGAGCGTGCCACAACAGCACTCGTGCTCGTGGATGGCCTTGTCCTGTGACCGGCTGCACGCACCGGTCCGGTCCGCCTGCCCACAACCTGGGCGCGGCGGGACCAGCGGCGGCCGCCACCACCGCCAGGCTGGTCGGGGCCGGGCCAGCGCGGCTGGCTTGCCGGCGGCCGCACGGCCCGCGGCGCCAGCCGGCCGTGTCGCTGGGTCGGGACGGCCGCGTGACGGCACAGACCACTGCCGATGACCGATAGGGGGCGCTGCGCGGCCCGGGCGGGGCCGCCGCCGCTCTCCGCTCACTTCCGGCGGCGGCATTGTGACCGCGGCCCGCGGAAAAACGAACGGACCGCGGCCGGTGCGAGCATTTGTTGACTCGCGCCTAAACGGCGCGCAGGTGAGGGAGGCGGGCGCAGAGGGCGTGTTTTTGCAGGCGGGCAATGACGAGGACCACTCTCGAAACGAAGCTCGCGATGATTCCACTCGGCAGGAGCGGCGCTGTTTGTTGTTGTAAGGCGCAGATAGGTTTGTGAGAGGTTTACTCTGCGAGATAACGAGGTTTTCCAGGCGACAACGAGATCTGCCTCGGCTGGAGAAGAAATCGGAATGCATTTGTTGGGGCATTCACCACGATCCCCACACACTTGACGTAGAAGCGTATGCTCCAGAGACCATGCTGCATTTGGTTGCGCGTACAATAAACGGCCAACACATAGCTACATCGTGCAATTATCATCCTGTAGTTTGCTTGGACGGTCAGGAAGAACAGTACATCTCATCTAGGCAGATAGAGGTTCAAGCAAAGCGATAACGTCTGAAGTCAGCAACATTTGCCACGGTGGGTCCTCGTGATCTGTCAGTGCCTGGACGGAGACATTTATAGCAAGCACATGCATCTTGATTGTCCGACTTTCTGGGGACCCCTGAAGTGTTCTGCTCTCAACTAAGGCATCTGCGTGAGCTTGGCAGAGGTATTCACATGGCTGGTTAAAACAAAGATGCTTTATCGACACCGGCACTCCCGACGGATTATCCAAGGAGATAGAGAGGGGGGGGGGGGGGGCACACACATTTTGACCCGCCTCCTTACATGCAGGGTTCTTGAGTCAGTGCCACAAGTTTCCCGAGACATAGTTTCACAGCCCCTCGCTTGTTGTCCTCTCCATGTCTGCCCACATCGAGCTTTAATTACATGTGTGACAAGTGGAAGTGTGTCCAGTGACATGCCATCGCGTTGTTCTAGTCACGGGTGGACCCAAGGTCAAAGCGTGTCCCGTGAGGTCAACCCATGCTCTGGTCATATGTCGACCTTGGCATCTATGGGGATTTTAACGTCTTATACAACGTCATATCCGTGGTCATATGCTCAGTTACGTGTCGGTTCGGCAATCAAGGTGTGTTCGGTGACGTCACCTGTTGGCTCGGCGCCGTCGGGCGTTTCGTAACGTCGCGCCTATCCTGCAGCCGCTTCATATTGATGACGTCACACCTGTCGATCAGTTAAACCAATGGCTATTCGGTGACGTCACACTGTCGGCTGGGATGCAGTCAAGTGTCGGATGCGGATCAATGGGTGTCGGGACAATGTGGCGGCCCGGAGGTGACCGGGGCGGATGACGGATGGCGCCGGCACAATGACGAGCTGGCACGCCGGCCGTCCGACAGCGACGCAGACCCCCGCCGCCGCTCATGAATACGTACAATGTCGTAATTAGACATCAATCAGTGGTAATTGACCGGCTAAGTTTTGCAATCAGGCCGCCTATTGCGGCAGCACGGGCCACGGGGGCAGCGGCGAATTGTTTTATTGTCAGCCGTCCAGGTAATGCATTGGCATCAGCTCGGGCTCGGACCACACCTGAGCACAGGATTTCAGCCGCTCGAAGCTCCAGGCTCATCAGAGCCTGGACGCCAGGGGTGGGCCGGCAGCTGGGCCCCAGAACGGGCCGGCGCCTCGTCGAAGGGGCAGCACCTTGCGCCAGCCGCGCGCCGTTGCCGAGGCCGGCTCCGGGGCTTTGCGCCGCGCCACCACAAATGCCGTGTCCGCTAAGCCGGGTCATCTGGAACAAAGCCACCGGCTGTGCAGAGATTTCCTCCACGGGGAGACTGGCAGTCTGTGTGGCGGGGTAAGCCGCCCGCTTAGCGCTGCAACTATTCTCCAATCTGAATCAGGCCACGCCACAATTTGA